GAGGAAGGGACGGACGGAGGGATTGATTTACTTATTAAAAAGTGGCACAAAAGGACTGATAAGTCCAACTAGAGTACTGTCAGAATGTGGTAAAAATAGAAAAACAAGTCCAAGTCCAAAGAGACGGAAGGAGGGAGGGGGAGGGAGGAACGGTGGGCGGAAGGGTTGACAGAGAGTACGAGCCCCCGTGACCAACCCTCCCCATCTGTACTCACGCCTCTCCTTCACGCAGGCCAACCCGGGGACAAGAAGCTGACCATGAACGAGGTGGCCGCCAACGTCTTCGTCTTCTTCATCGCGGGCTTCGAGAGCTCTTCCGGCACGTCCTCCTTCACGCTGTACGAGCTCGCCAAGCAGCCGGAACTACTGAAGAAGGTGCAGCAGGAGGTGGACCAGGTGCTGGCCGACTTCGACGGCAAGCTCACCTACGACGCCATCATGAGCATGCCCTACCTGGAGATGTGCATCAATGGTAAGTTCTGTCCTCACTTCCACTTACAGCCCCAGCCATGCCACCCTCTAACACCTCGCCTCCCTTTACAGAGACCCTCCGAAAGTACCCGCCGCTCGCCTTCATCACCCGGGAGGCCATGGTGACCCGGAAGGTGCCGCTGACCGAGGTGACGGTGGAGAAGGGCACCAGGGTGGTGGTGCCCGTCCGCGCGCTGCACTACGACCCCCTGTACTGGCCCGACCCGGAGAAGTACGACCCCGAGCGGCACACGGCGGAGAAGAAGGCCACGCGGCCGGCGGTCACCTTCATGCCCTTCGGAGAAGGTCCGCGAATGTGCATTGGTGAGTAGGGGCCCGTAGTGGAGGGGGCCGGAAAACGCGTAGGGGTAGTTTAGGGATCGTCCAGACAGCATGTCCGTCATTCGCCGTTTACGAACCTGCCAAATTCGGGCTCTTCAAGCTCTCGTAGCGCCTTGTAGATAGGCAACATCCTGCCAGCAGCGCATGTGTGTGTTGCGGGGTGGCCTACCCTGCGTCTCGCAGGCGCCGTGATCCCGTAACTTGCAGAATCAAGAGGGAGAAAACGATGGCTCCATGTCGATTCGTCCCCTCCCTATTCGTCTCCCTGAGGACTAGTACTCCGTCTATTTGTCCTCAATCATTTTGGTATACTTTTTTTCGTCCGAAGATAATTTGCCCTCCGTTTTAATTATTTGTCCTACCTTCCTGTCCTCTTTTCGTCCCCTCTGATCCTGGCGTGGGGTGTTGTCAAACTGTCGAAAATTCTGTAACCAGTAACGGAATCCACACATATAGCCCTGCACTTCATTACTATGGGTCAAAATCTGTTCGACAGGTATTTGAGGGGAAAAGATTTAACTTTGATTGAAAAGAACTACTTTCCTTCAGTATAAGGTACATTCCAGCGTACAGAATCACACTGTTGAAAAAGTTACCAGACGATTCTGTAGTGATTTACTGGTGTACCTTGTACCTCGTACCTTCTTGTACTTGTACTTGTACCTTCTGGACGGCCCAATGCCCATTTTGTGCCTGCTTCGTCTCTAACCTTCGTGCCTGTTCCAGCGGCGCGCCTGGGGGTGGTGCAGATCAAGACGGCACTAGTACGGCTGCTGTCCAAGTACACCGTGACGGTGAGCAAGGACGAGCCCGACAAGGTGAGGATGAACCCCAAGAGCTTCGCCACCACCTCCGACATGCCGCTCAACATCACCTTCCACCCGAGGAAGGCCGCCGCCGGCATCCAGAAGAGGCGGCAGAGCGTCGTGTCGGGCTAGGGAGCCGGTGACAGCGCAACTTGTCGTCAAAGAGCCAAAGACATTGGAGTGGTGTGGGTACACAGCCTGCCACATCCCGAACTCCCAACTCATCATGAATTACATCGTAATCACAAGTTCATACGCAAATGGTTCAAATAAATTGAGTTTAAGTCATTGTAAATACTTCATTAGGTATGGAATAGTGTTGAATTTTAAAGTGTATATTTGTTTCATATGTTTTACGTGTCCTAGTTTTATACTGTTGTGTACTTTTGTTGAATTAAAACCTATTATTACGTATTGTTAATGACATTTTTTTCACTTCGTCCCGGTCGTATCAAGTTTCCTGAAGTCTTTGTGAATCGGATGGCAGGTGCGTTCCTCGAATCTTATCTAGGCTATCCTCCCGCCAGATACGACCGGACAAAACACAATACATTCGTGTTCCCAAGGCAAATAATAAATAAAACAAAATAAAACGCATATTTAGATAGTTTTTTGTTTTTGTCTTTAATGAGAAGGACTCTTTTCTGTGCCCTGCACCGTACAACACCCACCGCGGCCAGCCATGGGCGGACAGTCCGACACCTGATAAACCGATAAACCAGGACAAACATCTGTCGCAGCAGCACCCCCACCACCCACCATGCCAGTCACGAGCGTCGCCGGGAAGGCGGCTGAACGGTGTTCGCCCGGTGTCCACGCCACCTGCTCGCTCACCTGCTCGTCATCCGCGACCCGACGTCCTCGTCCTTCTCCGCGGCGTGGACATGGAAGCGCCGCCCTGGGTGGGCTACGCGCTCGGAGTTCTCTTCTGCCTCCTGCTGTCCGCCGTCGGCCGCCTCCGGGACCACGACGTGGACCCCCAGCACAGCGCGCTCACAGCACACCGTCTCTGGCACGATGTCCCGCTCGCCGGGGCGTGCACGCCGCACAAGTACCGCGAGCTCGACTGACCCCCGGGACGCGGCACCTCGCCGACGACAGGCTCAGCGCATCGCTCAGTGCTGCTCGCGTTGGTCCCTTTGTTCTTCGGGGAGGGTCGTGGGACCCGCGACACACAAACCTCTGGCTCCAGTTTAATCTTCCTTATCGTTACTGTCGAGCCGTGAACAGCCGTACACAGGCGGGGGGGGGGGGTTCAACTTAAAATTTCTAAGCAGAGCGGCCAGTAAAATCGTGACGCCGATGTTGAGATGCTCTATTTCAGGTACAGTTCACGACCATCCACGTGGTACCTGTTCTGTATTGAAGTTGGCACCACTGCTGTTGAAGCTTATATACACCTGTGGAGACCTAATAAACAAGTCAGTCAGTCAGTCTTGCTACCCAGCTACTCCTCAATACTCCCGCTCAGACACCTTTGCAACCTGTCGCACCACCAGCCTCTAACGCCGTTCATAGTTACGACCTACCATCAGAGGATACAACAGTACCAAGCAGAAGAAGTGTGTCCCTGATAGAATTGGGGAACACAACTGATTACATGATTGAAAAAAAAAGAAAGAAAAACTCGCCGTTATCAGAGCAGGTCAATCCACGCGGCAACTTCAAGTGTTTGCTGCGGAGCTGGTAGGTGGTCCGGCCATCGCTGTCGCCAACGTGTAACCCACGTTTATGCACTATGGCCCAGCCACTGTGGCCTATCGCGATCGGTGTACGTGGTGGGCCGTCTTGACCCTGCCACCTCCTCCGTTCGAATGTCATATTGTGATCGTGATCACACCTGGCAAGACAGCCACCCGCCGCCCGCCGCCGTGCTGTCTGCACGCATGCTGCCGCTGCCGCCGCTGCTGCTGCCGCTGCCATACACCCCATTGGATGAGGCCTGCCTTTTCGCAAAGTGCCTTCGGCGATAAAAGGACGCGCGTGTCCCGCAGTGATTTGGGAGTGGCAGTCTGAGAGATGGTGATGATGCGAGCGGCCGCGTCCCTGAGCCTGCTCGGCCTACTCGCGGTCAGTATTTTAACGGGTCATTCTGTCAAAACTTAACGCCAGTCAAGAAACTCGCCATTCCTCTGGAAACGTGGTGGGCTCTCTGCCACACCATCCTGGCATAGTGCTGACAGCACACCCACAAAAGTGGGGCGACACCGAAACTTGAGCGATTTCGAGACGGTATCGTTTTCGTACTGCACGTCAATTTTTTGACCACTTTTCGCGTCGCTTGTGACACAAGTCAGCGTGTGATATCGAAACGATATCGCCATTCCTAGAGGTGCAGGGAGCCGGTGTATCCGAGGCGGGGTCTCTGCTGTGTTGCGGGACTGCATGGTACCCTCTTGGCCGCGCCATGTGCCTTACGGGCGGAGAGAGTAGGCAAACCCGCAGCACTGCTGCGTCTGCCACTCTGATACAGCCGGTACACGTTAGCGTCGGTGTGCCCGCAAGTAAAGGCGAACACTCCCTAGCGTTGCGGGTTTGCATACCCAAGGGGCTATGGCGCCTTGCCTTACGGGCAGATCGGGTAGGCAAACCCGCAACACTGCGGTGTATTGCCTACGCGTGCGGCAGACAGGTAATGCGGTCAGGTTGTCAGTTCCTGCCCTCACGGAGTGCTGCTCGCAGGGTTGCCTGGCGCGTCCCTCCGTGGAGGTCCCCCGGCTGCGCGTGGCGGGCGGGGGCGACGCCAACCCCCTCACCTTCTACTGGCAGGCCGCGCTGCTCACCGCCGACGACCGCTTCTTCTGCGGCGGCTCCATCATCGACGAGCTGTGGATCCTGACGTCGGGACAATGCGTGGACCCGTGAGTGCGAGTGCGTAGGGATCTCACTTTTACCCGCGTACCCGGGTAAACGGGTCTTACCGGGTAACACGGGTCAACCCGGGTACCCGGGGTAAGACCCGGTGGAACCGCGCCTGTAGGTAGGCAATTTTAACATACCGGGTCTACGCGGGTAACCCGCTGCTACCCGGTAAGACCCCCGTTTACCCGGGTACCCGCGGGTCCGCGTTTTGAGAGCCCTACCCAGGTAGAACACAACCGTGACCCTCATTTGACGTCAAACTGAGCTCATTCTGGCCTGCTCATCAGCCGGTTCATTGCGGTTCACAGGTTTACGGAGTTCCACGTGGCTGTGGGGTCCCCAAAAATGCCCGACGGACATAGAGAGCCCGGTAAACAAACTTTCGTCACCCAGGAGAGATACCTCCATCCCCAGTATGACATGATGTACTTGGACAACGACATTGGGCTGCTCAAGCTTCCCAGCAAAATCAAATTCACTTTTTGTGAGTGGAATGGCGCACAGACCTGTTGGACATGTTTGGACCTCCCTCGCAACTAATGCTTTGATTTCTTGCAGTCATTTCAGCTGTCCAGTTGCCCACATATTCGATGGCCAAGGAGGATCTGACGGGAAATGTGGCCACAGTAAGTGGGTGGGGGAAGACCAGTGATGGTTAGTGACATTCAAAAGTTTCGTATCATAGTGCACCAAGACTAACACTACACAAGTTTACTATTAACATGTTCTCTTACTCATAGAATCTACCGTGAGTCAGGTCTTGAAATATACAGATTTGACAATACTGTCCAACCAACAATGTGAAATTATGTATGGAAGCACTATGATCGGTAGTAAACTTTGTTTGTTTGCTAATAATGGAAACAGCATTTGCCAGGTTTGTATCACTTCACCTTAAGAAACGACATCATCAGAGCACTGCATCACAATTAATTGTTTTCTTTACCTTAGGGTGATTCTGGGGGTGCACTGGTAATAGAAAAGCGAGGAGGATTACCCGGGGAGGTTATTCAAATTGGAATTTCATCTTTTGTGTCAGAAGAAGGCTGCACTGTAATGATGCCCCAAGGTTTCACCAGAGTCTCATCTTTTCTAGAGTATATTGAACAAACAACTGGTATCATCATAGCAGATTAG